TTCTGGAATAAAACATTCATATTCTGGTGTGAGATATTCATATTCTGGTATGAGATATTCATATTCTGATATGAAAAAATCAAGGCCCGATCCTTTCATATTCTGGTATGAGATATAGATATTCTGGTGTGAGATATTCATAGCCTGGGGTGAGATATTAATATTCTGGTGTAAGATATTCATATTCTGGTATGAGATGTTCACATTCTTGTATGAGACATTGATATTCTGGTATGAGATATTCATATTCTGATATGAAAAAGTCATATTCCAGTATGAGATATTCATATTCTGATATGAAAGTCATATTCTGGTACGAGATATTCATATTCTGGTACGAGATTTTCATATTCTGGTACGAGATTTTCATATTCTGGTAAGAAATATTCATATTCTGATGTGAGGTATTCATATTCTGGTATGAGATGTTCGTATTCGGGTATGAGACATCATATTCTGGTATGAGATATTCATATTCTGGTATGAGATATCCAGAATCTGGTAAGAGATATTCAGATTCTGATGTGAGATATTCATAGTCTGGTTACTGATATTCATAGTCTCGTATGAGATATTCATTGTCCGGTATGAGACATTCTGAGATAAATATTCTCGGCGTCTGCTTCAAGACACCTTTGGCCGAATATGTATGTCAGGCAATCTTGCATGCCCAGCGAACAGGTTACTATCTTTGCAAACCTTGAAGCACTCTTCTTTTTACCACTAGCAGTACTTACAGACACGAATAATGTCCGGTCCCTATGATGTCTTGTACGACAAGCATAGGTTTTCTGAGACTGGTTTCCGGATCCTCCGCTTGGTATCTGTCGCTGCGCTCCCAACCAAGAGAACGACACCAGTCTTTGCTGGAGACCAGTTGTCACCTGTAGTTACCGCAAGGGGCATGTCAAGGACAATTTAAACACTACAGAACATGACATTTGTCTGTCCCGGCAAGCCTGTTTGATTATTATCGCAATGTTCTAGTTCATATACTCGGTAGGTAGGTAATCTTCATAACAAACACCCGATATTTGTCACTTGATAGGAATCGGTGAAACGAATTTGTCCAATCCATTGTTTTTCCAACTTTACGTAATTGAGATTATTTTGTTGCCTTTTTTAAAAGGAAAAAATTGATCCTATATAACAAAAGATGAACAGGAGACATAGGTGATCCGATCACCTCCTGTGCGACCTCATAATTAAAATGATTTGATGATAGTAAACCATTAAGGTGAGTGAGCTGGGTTGGATAGTAGGTCAGTTATATCACGGCATATGTGAGAGAAATGAAATCATGCAGGTTACAGGTTACGTGTAGCGGAGCGCGGATATGGATACCCATGATAAAAGGATTCTGACACGTATAGGGCACGTAACTCTGCACATTTGGTTGCGGCGCCTGCAATGTGACCACCCATGTCCATAGTGAGGAGAATGTTACACGATTTTGTTGGTTACCTTAAGCGTCTCAAAACGATGTAAATATCGCATCTCTGAAAATCAGTTCTTCTTTTAACAATTAGTGAAAAATATACTGTAAACACCTCAAAAAGATACTGGGGGTCAACCTATTTTCGCCAGGATCTTGGGGTCATGTACAGAGATAAAAACCCAGCAGGGCTCTGATCCAATGATCTGCATGAGCGACCGGTAGTTTGACACTCCGCGCAAATGTTGACGTGCACGGGAAAATCAGGCAACGCGTGCTTGATGACACCGTGCCAATGGCACGAGGTGACGACCAATGGCCACGAAACCTGGTAGTGTGTTGTTTATAACGATTAAACTAATGGATTATTATTTGTCTATGAAGCAATTATGCACTTTATTCTTACAACATTTGAATAAAAGAGTACCGTATTTCCCACAAGTATGGTGATACGTCGATACCACGTTCAATCGTGCCCCGACCGCCTCCGTGGTCCAGTGGTAGAGCGTCCGCCCGGAGAGCGGAAGGTCCGGGGTTCGATTCCCGACCGCGTCATACCAAAAGACGTTAAAAGATGGTACTTGTTGTTACCCTGTCTGGCGTTCGGCATTAAGAGGCTAAAACAAGGACTGGTCTGCTCGGAGTCAGTATACTGTGTCTGAGTGGGGTATTCATGTTCAACTGCGGCATGGTATCTCAGTGAGCTAGCACTATAAATCGGCATCAGTCCGGACTAGTACAAGCAGCCACACAAACACACACACGTACATGCACGTCGCTATATAAGTGCAATAATCTTGGACGCGACGTTAAACCCCATTTCACCTCACCTCACCTCAATCGTGCCCCCAAATTTCCAAACGAGTTGTGTTATGTTCAAATCGCATAAAGAATGTGAAAGTAATAATTATTAAGTTTTCTATATTGTGTAATACAAAGCGTCGACTCGATACGCTTTAATATAGTATTAACGGTATGCTATCACCTTGTGTCCAGCCAAACATCGGCAAGGTTAAAATGTATACCTAAATAATTTCCGATTATGAGAATCTATGAGTCCACGGGAAGTTGAACGGGGCGTGATTCTCGTCATCACGTCACGTGTCATTATCATGACAAATGCGTGTACAAATGTACACATGTACGGGGAGAGAATAGTAGGTGGAGAACTAGTTTAACAATTAGTAATATCTTGGTTATATCACGGCGACCTGTAAACAACCGAGTCGCGGCTAGTCAAACCAGATTAGTGACAAACCTTGCCAGCAACAATCGGTACGTTGTCGTGCAGTGGGTGTCAAGGATTATGCTCTTTGAACTGGCTCGCTAAAAGGACAAATTAACAGTGCATTTGTGACAACCTCGATACTTAAAATGCTTTTGGTCTTTTTTCAAATCTATCACTGACATACATGGATGACGTGAGTGAGTGAGTATGGTTTTACGCCGCTTTTAGCAATATTCCAGCAATATCACGGCGGGGGACACCAGAAATGGGCTTCACACATTGTGCCCATGTCGGGAATCGAACCCAGGTCTTCGGCGTGACTGGCGAACGCTTTAACCTTTAGGATACCCGACCGCCCCACGGGTGACGTGAAGTTAATCGTGTATTTTTAAATATCTGGCATAGAGATAGTATGATTCCATACATTCTATGTAGATACATTCAAGAACGGTAACCCCTGGCGATTATGCTTGTGTGGTCGGCAACTAACGGGCTCGGGTGGTCAGGCTCGCCGACTTGGTTGATGCATGTCATCGTTTCCCAATTTCGTAGATCGATGCTCATGATATCAATCATTGGATTGGATTATTTACAGTCCGGCGTCATATAGCTGCAATATTGCTGAGTGCGGCGTTAAACAAAAAACAAATCCTTGTTATAAAGTCTCCGTGGTCTAGTGGATAGAGCGCCTGCCGGGAGAGCGGAAGGTCCGGGATTCGATCCCCAACCGCTTTATACAAAAGATGTTAAAGGATAGTACTTGTTATTACCCTGCCTGGCGCTCGGCATTAAAGGGATAAAACAAGGACTGGTCGGCTCGGAGTCAGTATACTGTGTCTGAGTGGGGTATTCATGTTAAACTGGGACATGGCATCTCAGTGAGCTAGCACTATAAATCGGCATCAGTCCGGACTAGTACATGTACACACATACAAAAACACCTACAATGACGCGCACGCACGTCGCTATATATGTGCAGTATCCTTGAACCCGACGTTAAAACCTATTTCACCTCACCTATGAAGCTCTTCTTGACGTCACTCAAGTGGGCTACGGAAATATCCTTTCGAAACGTTTGTCAATGTGAGCTGTCTGATTTAAAGCCCAATTCTACATCTTCGATTGTCTACAAATCATAAACTATTTTTAAAACCTATAAATCCTTTCCTCTGTAATCACACACCTCAAAATACCGACATTATACTTAATCGCACGTTAATTTGAATAGATTTCAGCTCGAGAACGGAAATCGGTTTCCAAAACCCTAAACCGGTTTAATTGTCGCTCTGAAAACTGTTTTAAATAATTATAGTATGCTCAAACATGTTTCATATATTATTAAATATTACTTTCAATAAATTACTCGATTGTAAATATATTAACTTGGTCTCGTCGCTGTATGGCTGAAAAAATGCCGATGCGGCGTTATATTTTAACTCACTCACTCACTCACTCACTCACTCACTCTGTAATCTATTAAAATACGTCAGCGATAAGTTGTTGGAATATAGAATTTGTTGTAAGATGGGAGTGAGTCAAAACTTAACGTCGCACCGGTATTATTTCAGCCATATAGCGGCTTGCAAGATGTATACTGAACAACAAAAGTTCCTGTGACATTGAATAAGATTTAACGCAAAGTTATGTTTCTTACCAAATCTGAAACAATTTCGGTTTGCAACAGATAAAAGACTCCTGTAAGTGTTCAAATGGTTTAATTTGCCATACTGACTTCAGAAAATGCATGATTTCATTAAAAAAAACACATGAACATGCCAAAATGTCAATTTACAAATCAATAGCGTGTGTGTCCAGCTCTCGTTGCGATGCAAGCAACACATCTTCGTCTCAAGGAATGGACCAGGCGTCGCACAAAGTCCTGTGGGATATCTGTCCATATCTGCTGGAGCATGTTTCGAAGTTCCTGGAGTGTCTGTGGAACACGTGGTTGACGTCGAAGGCGCCGATCCATCTCATCCCACATGTGCTCGATTGGTGAGAGATCAGGGGAGCGAGCCGGCCAGGGGATGACATTCACGTTGTTTTGTTGAAGGGAATCCTGAACAAGTCGAGCATAATGCATGGGGCTCGCATAAAAGTAAACTTTTGGATGGAATGCATGCTTTTCTGTAGCAGTTGCGTTTTTTGTGACTTGATTCCATTCATGTACTACAATATTGAAAACCAAACTTTACTTGTTAGAAAAAATATTGGTGTCACAGGAACTTTTGTTGTTGAGTATATTTAATAGTTGTTAATAGTCGACGACGCTGGACTGTGGAAGCGTGGTCACATTACGTCGGTGAAACCTGATCAGATATCGTTTGTGATAAGCTACACTCAGATGTGTTGGACCAATTATGAAATAGATTATAGTGGGCCTATTTAAACCAGCGTGCATTCTCGAGAGAGTATTTTGCGGGTGAGTTGGCGAACACAACTGTCAGGTAGGTAGCCCTTGCTGTTATAGCCGTGACGTTCCACTCGGGTCGATATTTGTCGTGGTGATCTCCGTGACAAAAGCGTATGACCTTTCATGGATGAATTAACGTATACACAATACAGATAAGCGTCGTCCCCAGCTGACCAACGTTGCTGGTCTTATGTCGTCATAGTGTTGTTCTCATTTTGGCTGGTACTATATAAATCTATTTGACATTATGATCTAAAAACGTGTTTCATTTTCGTTTAATTTCACTTTGAAATCTGTGTTTTTTTAAAGTAAAATATTATTTTATCCAAAGATAGGTAATTTCTGCAATGGAATAGGACGCAGAAATGTTGATAATTTCAAGGGGGTGTTTTTGCTGATGTTTGTAATTTTAATTCTTCGTCGGAGTCTGGGGGAAACGATCTGGGAATAAAAGTAAACGCCATAAATCTATGACGATAAGGGCTTGGAAAGCTACCAGTTCGAACTCGCCAGCATTGTCTAATCTACATTCGGGACTTGTCAATCACCAGTTGTTGTCCCAAAACTGCATGACCGCCGGTCTGTTTCGGAATGACACGACTTATTGGTACAGTTTGAGTGCTGGCGTTAAATCCACCTTATAAATAATTGTGGTTTTTTATTTTGAATTGATTTTTTCCATACCTTATTCCTAGAAAACTACAAAGAGGTTGGGCAAAAGTGAATGCTTTAATCTGATAATAGATGGCATCCGTTTTATGAAGGACAAGAAACTCATTAAGCTCTTTCGGAAAATATCGCATGTTTCCGGAGGTTTTTATGCATTCGGAACACATTCTCTACATTCAGAGAAGAGTAGAAATAGTTTATATCACTTTTTAATACTTATTTGAAACAGGGACTGCTTCCTGCCTATCGAATATATATGGGCCTCAACAACGCATAAATAACCTGAAGAGCAAAAGGAACTATATGTCTCAGTAGATTCTATAATATATGTTTTAAATTCAAAATATCATAAATTATTGATATTATATTCCAAAATGAACTGGCGCTGAGTCAGCACTGATAGAATACTTCCACATGGTTCTATTTAAAAAAAGAAGGCGTGATTTAAAACTTTACAAAAGCCCATAATACCCAATTGCTAATGTGTGTATGAGACATATTATCTTTGAAAATCAAAAAAATTTGCTTTTCAGCCTAAGTTTTCTACATTTCAAACATGGTTGGGGTCGTATAGTTGCAAATTCATGTCTCACCCCACACTTCATTGAAGCAATTTAGTTTACCTCGCCACAGGTAACAGTTGCAGAAACTGTTGCAGGAATGAGTGTAGGTTAAATATACAGAATCAAATTTAACCACTAGGCTACCCGACCGGCCCGAATTTAGATTCAATATATTTTCATATAACATATGTTGTTTAGATTTTATTATATGCTTTAAGTTTTGCCTTTTGACACTCTCTCGTGGCATGGGTGAAAGAACTGTTTACTTCTCCCAAAATGCATGCTTCGCTAAAACTGTATGTTTTATGTGTTAACAAACCAATCTCAAATTAAATTCAAATTTTCAGTGACGCCATCATTCCTGCGATGGTGTCAGAAAAATGTAACAAGGAAATCCTCACTTTGTATACGCATCTGTGACGTCACTATTTTGTGCGTAAGAATATTAGTCCACCATAATCTCGGGCTGTCGATAAAATTCACCCAAATCTATTAGGGCTTAGTGTTTTACCTTGGAATTTCAATGAAATGAGCTAAGTGCAGATATGTGACTGATTATGATGTAAGTTTGAAGTGAAATGAGAAGAGCGGCCAAGTAAACCAGCCATAGTAAACACCAATCAACACTCACTCACCTTGCATTCCACAATGTCGGCTACTATCAGCATCGTATTCAAATTACTGATTATGGAACGAAATATGTGTTAAAGGTTTTGAGACGGTCCCTTGTGAAATGTCGCGGGCTCTCTACACTGTCAACAATGTACTATGTACTACCCCGGTATCCGCGGTCAAAAAGGAGGTTGAGACTCATTGATCTCTATATATGCCACCGACAATAAATATGGGAACTAAAGATTTGAATGAAGCTATCGTTCAAGTGTACATTCACAATACCGTTGTGTTGCATCTGAACGCAACATCTAATCACTGTAAAATTTCACGTCATGCATAAACAGCGCATGATGCACGTGCACACAGTAGCTTATAGGGGAAACCTGACCCGCTAATGCAGAGCTAAGCACGAGCAAAACATGGCTCACTCCGACGGGTGGGGTTTCAATAGGACCTGTCGTAGCAGGACTAAAAACCGACCCCTGGACAAGATCGTCTTATTACATTAATTGCCGTTTCCCCAAAATTTTCTTTTGCCCCAAACTCAGTTAATTACAATCTCATTAAAATCAGATCTTAGTTCTCGCTACCGCTTAATAAAGATCTGAGGACATCCCATTACGGGTCACGTCAGAACGACCTTTCGCGAACTCTGACCGACCAATGGAATGACTAACAAGAAGTCGACAATACCCAATCAGAAGGCAGCTTAAACGAGCTCTACGGCACGAGTTTCAAACTGGCGACTACGCTTCGAAACATATTTTGACATACACTCAATTAAAAATTTTAAAAACTGAACAAAAGAACATTCTTGAATGGCTAATAGATGGTCTAGATTGTATGAATACAGTCTAGAGCCCATAACTGTCGTTCGGAATACCCTGTGTGTTTTTATCGAGGTTGCACGATCAAACGTCACATTCAAACTGTCACTATCATGACTTGATAAGCGATGCTCTGATCTGTCAGATGAAAGGTCGGTCTGACGTGACCGTAATGGGATGTCCTCAGATCTTTGTTTCGCGGTAGCGAGAACTAAGATCTGATTTCAATGAGATTGAGTTAATTACGGCCGTACATCTTTAACATACATGTGAAGTATATCATTGCTTTATCCGAGAATATTGCATTGTTTGTGTTGGACATTTAGTTTGCGGGGTGTTGGTAATCTGATCTTTGGTAGTGGCACCCGTGTGTTACTGTTGATCGCAATGTGCGCGTTTGTTACAGTATGGGCAGCGGCAAGACAAATCACAATTAATTTCCACTTCCAGGCATACTCATATAACAAACAAGAAATGGTTATTCGACGATGGTGTATTTGATACTGGTATCATCGTTGTGTTTTGGGCGTTAAGTCTGCAGTGTTTCGGCGACTGTTTTCAACTTTGTAACGTTTTTATACCGTTAGTAATGTTTGGGGTCAAAACTAATTTTCGAGTGTACCTTCCGTTGCCCGGCAGGTTAGATGCATATTAACCAAAGCCAGTCGTAGATGAAATCACAATACATTTTCGGTGAAGGTAAAAATACGACATCATGAGCATTGATCTACGCAATTGGGATACGATGACATGCATCAACCAAGTCAGCGAGCCTGACCACCCGATTCCGTTAGTCGCCTCAGACGACAAACATGGGTTGCTGAAGACCTATTCCATCTGTCGGGAGCCAAGATGGTTCTGGGATAATGTGTAGTGTGTTGTTTTGAAGAAATATTATATACTGGAATTTGAAAACTACAGGCATTTTTGGTCGTACAGCCGTAAATATAACATCCCCACACCCACACACTCCCACAACCTAACCCCACACCCCCACACCACCACCACCACCCTTGGAATGACTGAAGTGTCAATCACTATAACATAGTGAAATAAGTGTCAGTCATTATAAACTATTAAGTGTCATTCAAAATCATTACTGAAGTGTCCATCATAAACTACTGACATAATTGCCAAACATCAGAATGTATCGAAGTGTCAATCAGTTTTTCAGACCCTGACCTTTGAACTACAATCTTAGTGTGATGTTAGATGTTTCGATCCTGCATGTACGTGTGTGTGTTAGTTTTATGTAGGTATAAAACTCTTTTTTATCTTTTGAGACGCCCCCTATAGTGGTCTATGATTATTTATCTTAGGGTATGTGTCTGTCTGTCTGTGTGTGTGTCTGTGTGTGTCTGTCTGTCTGTATGTATGTCTGTGCGTCTGTGTCTGTGTCTGTGTCTGTGTGTGGTGGGGTATTAGGTGCAAAAACAGAATAGATAAATTATGCATCACATCTTTACGGGTAAATTGTAAGGTTTAGTTGGTCTCATTGGCCCAGTTACGTCCCTTACACATACCAGGAGCCGATAGTAGTGGATTCGAATCCCAGATTAACTCCGTATATGATTCTTGGTTTATCAACACTATATCCGTACCCATGGTTTCACTAATGAAGGAGACGTCCACGACTTGCCCAACTCATAGATCATCATTCATCGTCTGTACTCAATTGTCTGATGTAAGATCATTTGTTTTGTTTCAGGCAGGCAAAATGGCTATTCTGAAATGTATGACGTCACTTCCTGCTCTACTCCTTGTGACATATTCCATCTCAGCAGCGTTTGACATCAACGACCCGAAGACAAACATAGACAGCCTTATCCGAGTCATTGGATCTTCTTACCCGGCTGACGTGGACGTCCTATACGGAAACGGAACAATATTTGGCCGACAACCTTCGCAAAAGCTGGAAAAACTCTTCTATTTTGAAGGCTACAATATCGGCCGGAAGGTCCACACCGGAAACGGCTACCTTTCGCTCACACGAGAAGTCTTCGTGTACAGACATATTGTAACAGGGGAGATAATCTACATCTGGCACAACGCATATTCTCAGAACAGCAACGAAATTTTCCACGTACGTAACGACCCCGTGGACATGAACTTCACATATGGAGCTGAAGTAGTTCCAACGGTTCGATTCCCAGGACAGGGGTTTGGGTTTACCACTGACCTCCTCTTGCAGTACCCGAACGAATTGGACCCGGCTCATTATAAAGAGTTCTCGGCAGGTCCCCTCTATCAAGCGGACGAACTGTTCCAGTACTTTTCCGACTACGACGTATTGACCACAACTAACATCTCCTCCCTGAACATGACGGGGGCGTGGTTCCGGCGCGCCCAATACCTCCCCTGGATGCAGATGGGGGACACCCCCGGGCATTTATATTACCAGACAACCAACTGGAAGTGTCTCAATGGCCTCCAGGATCTATCCGAAGATCTTCTTCATTTCGTCCAGTCCAATTTCCCCCAGTTCCTTGAACCCCCAAGCGTATTTAATCCAATTCCGGAAACAACGTGGCATGTTATCAAACAAGTAATAGACAGTAGAAGAAAACAGGGCCTGCCTGATATAATTCTACCCACCGTCAATATTTCAACCCACGTGACCCCCAAGGCCAACAGCCTTGACCCAAGAGTCGAACCTGTGTTCACAAAAGACAGTACCGACGTCTTCTTCAATGGAAGTATCTATAGTGAAATTACAGGTAAACAGTCCATTGAATTGTTTAAGTTAACAGGTACTTTCAAGGCATCTGCGGTTGGGTTTGGACTTCCAGACATTTTCTTGAATGTCAGGGTATCGGGAGACTTCTGTGATCCCATAACAATGAAGGAACTGCAATATTTCAAAAACCCGTTCACCAATGCCACCGTTCGCGTACCAAAGTTTGCAGGCGACAAAGAAATCATTTTTAACAAAGACAACGTCTTCTCGATGGCTGTACCTCACCTGGAGAAACTATCAGTGCAGGCTCAGACATCACACACAACTCATCTCCCCGGCAACGGCTGTGACATCTGGGAGGTCGACATGCTTACGCTGTTCTTTAAAGACTGCGACCTCAACAAACCGAACCCCTTCTTTTACGGGACATGGGTCCGGTTTACGAGCTGGTTAGACTGGATGGGCATGACAGGTATCGACGGGAACCTGGTGTGGAGAATGAGCATCAACAGGGTGACGCCTTCACCGGGTCATCAAGTTGGCAAAAAATAATAACTTATATATCAGAGTCTATGTGATGTAATGTTATCTCATGTCAGGTTGACCCAACTGAAAGACATTGTCGAGATGACCCAGCGCATACCCACTACAGGAACATGACAGAGACTCGCTTAATCTATGTATGTATCTACGCAAGGAAATATACACGACATGCAAGGTCAACAAATTATACAGTATTCATTGACATAGCTGCTATCATATTTTTCATAAGTTTTAATTAATTATTGTTTGAAATAAGTTTTTGATACACCCTGTAATTCGATGCGTAAAACTATACTCATTCACTCACTCACTCGCTGTCCTGGCATGACTGATTAACTGTAGTCATATGTCAGGATCGGGTGATCTTTAACTTCTTTTGAGTAGCATATAAAGCGATATAGTTTTGCAGGTTCATATTACTTCATAGTTTCTCCATTGGTCAAGGGCGGCTATGATATCTTGCTCAACCGTTGACGTGTGTATGTATTTTGTTGATATTGGCACTTCGCTTGTCTCGAACTATGGATAACTCGATGTGTTTTCGATAGTCCCCTTGAGTTAAGACGCAGTAGTCTTTCGTTTCCTGTGTCAAATATGAATGACGTTATTCATAGTAATGTTGTTGAAAACGTATTGCGTTTATATTAAAATCAGTGATCTAGTTTTCGAATCTTGCTTTCATATTGACGTGGTTAAAAATAGACCAAGGTATTTCGGGGCTGCAATTTTATGCGCTACGAAGAGCGTAAAACCCATGGTAACTATATAACAAACATCGTCCGCGATACACATCACTATCGTCTTGAAAATGTCCGGTATGATGTCGCGGAGAAGGGATTCCCCTGTAATGTAATGACGTTATTGGGAAACCCCAATCTATTTCCGCCTCTGTCCAAGGAGAGCGACGATCTCAGTACAGGACAAGGATCGTAAGACATTGAATTTACGAATGGAGTAAGGACTGTGAACACACATACCAACGAGCATCGGCCTCCGATGACGCACGAGGGCACAGGGGAAGGGGGAAGGGGGACCAAGTAGTCTGAGGCCCAGCTATTCGCTGTGCAGAGTTGCGTCCCTTGGGCATGCCAGAAACCTTTACCCTGTGTTTGACCAAAGTGATAAACGTCTGAGACCTACTTCAGGCTTTCCTCCCACATCAAGCTGACACGCCGTACTGTAACTGGAATACAAAGCGGCGTCACTCACTCACTCACTCACTCTCATGATACGCCAGTGCAACCACATAACGGTCACCAATATTTGTTACATAAGCCTCATTTCATATTCGAACGTACATTCATTGATGTGAGATGTAAGCGTACATTCATTGATGTAAGATGTATGCGTACATTCATTGATGTAAGATGTATGCGTACATTCATTGATGTAAGATGTATGGGTACATTCATTAATGTAAGATGTACGCGTACATTCATTGGTGTAAGATGTATGGGTACATTCATTAATGTAACATGTACGCGTACATTCATTGATGTAAGATGTACGCGTACATTCATTGATGTAAGATGTACGCGTACATTCATTGATGTAAGATGTATGCGTACATTCATTGGTGTAAGATGTATGCGTACATTCATTAATGTAAGATGTATGCGTACATTCATTGATTTTATATGTATGCGTACATTCATTGATGTAAGATGTACGCGTACATTCATTGATGTAAGATGTATGCGTACATTCATTGGTGTTAGATGTATGCGTACATTCATTAATGTAACATGTACGCGTACATTCATTGGTGTAAGATGTATGCGTACATTCATTAATGTAAGATGTACGCATACATTCATTGATGTAAGTGTATGCGTACATTCATCGATGATCCCGGGGAAAAAACATTCTAGTGTTATTCGTAAGATATGACTGAAAAGGGTCACAACGGCTGCTAAGTATGACTGCTGTGTGTATTGGGGACCACATTCGGAAGACCACCTCTCAGATGGAATGGACAGTTTGTATGTCATCGTAATTTTGAAATACATTGTAACACATACTCACTAAATGGGGTGAGTGAGTGAGTGAGTATGGTTTTACGCCGCTTTTAGCAATATCACGGCGGGGGACACCAGAAATGGGCTTCACACATTGTGCCCATGTCAGGAATAGAACCCGGGTCTTCAGCGTGACGAGCTATCGCTTAAACCACTAGACTACCCGACCGCCCCACTAAATGGACCTGGTTGTCGGGTTTGGTGAATTGGTTGATTGTGTGTCAAGTCAATGGTTTGTCTGGACCAGATTCGATATTTACAGGCCACCGTCAGAGTATTTCTGTGTGCAGCGTTCAACAAACACATCCAGTAACATGTCTCGTGTTATAAAATCTACTGCCATTCTAACCTGACCGCCCCCTCTTTGTGGCGCACCCCATGTAAACATCAGCCATTATGCTTCCCGGTAACCATTCGAGCTATCTTCGATTATCCAATCTTTCTAAATCTCCATTCTCTTTGAAATAGCCTGATAGTATCCATTCGCCACCAAAGTTTCCTTTCGGAAGTGACGTTACCATCTTAATCTTACTGTTGCCCAAGAGTGGAGTTTGTTTGGACCAATATTATTAGACGTCATGTCTCGGGGTTCCATGGTTTTATCTCTCGGATGAGGTTTAAATCTTATAAAAACCCGGTGGGAGGTGCATTTGAAATACCATTTATCAACAACTTCTTTATGTTTCAAACATACTTTATATGAACTTTAGGAAACGGCCGTAAAATATATCCTGCTGGCGTGCATGTGCTTGAAAATACATGCGACACAAACCCTTACCGAAGTCGTAAGAAATCTGTGCCAAAAGCAATTAGATAGTACGATTCCGACTATATCATGAGCATGTGTTTATGAATCACTATCAAATAGTGATGATACCAGGTGTTCGCGAAAAGGTGAGCGTATCCTGCCCCCGGCACCCGTCAAAAACACATGCAAAGGCAAGTCATTTGTTCACCTGAAAAAAACGGGAACATACGGTATAAGTTAAAATAGGGAACGGCATCGGACATAATTTTGTCAGTGATGCGTCAAATTTGGAATTGTCACCCAGATGTCTACCAGAAATCTTTTTGAAAGCTTTACTGAGGCCTTGAATGTTATAACCTTGATCAACTTATCAGCAATAGGCTAATGACGCTTTTGGAAATCATGGTCGAAAGAGCATGCTCCATTGTACGTCAAGAGTTGTGAAATGTTGACACTAAGTGCTAGCGCTGCTGGAATGATGCTCAAAATGAAGGGAAAGTTGAAGTTATCCCTCTTGTCGTACAGTCTTGAGGAGAGTGTTTTGTCACTCTGAATAGATCTAAGTATGAAACAGACGAGGCGGTCTCACTGGTCTCCTGTATTTCTTGTTTGGGTGGGTAAATCAGTGGAAGGGAATTGACCATTTGATTCTTATTGAACGATATCAGATCATCTATATACCCGAAGCTTAACTTGAACTTCTTGGCCAAATTACCTGGTTTTGACTTTGCTATTCCGAGCTAACATTCCGACTCCTATGCATAAAGAACAGATCAGCAAGAAGGGGAACACAATTGGTGCCCATGGGGATGCCTACTTGTTGCCGAAATGTATTTTCCCCTTTTACATAGATGTTATCAATCAGCATTTCACATATTGTTTTCTCATTAAACTTCAGATGACATTTGCTTTCATTGATGACAAATTGTCCTGAGCCTCTAAAGATAGATCTGTTACAGTATCTGTGGCCACCACGTTTTGTTACAAAAACTCATGGGTCAAGGAATGACGTTTTCCCTTGTGGGCTGATGTTGTTGGTTTGTTGTTTAACGCCGCACTCAGCAATATTCCATATATGTGACGGCGGTCTGTAAATAATCAAGTCTTGACTAGACAATCCAGGGATTAATATCATGAGCATCGATCCACGCAGTTGGGATCGATGACATGCATCAACCAGGTCAGCGAGCCTGACCACCCGGTCCCGTTAGTCGCCTCTTACGACAAGCATAGTCTCCTTGTGGGATAGTGGTGTAAATAGTTGAACAATCAAATCTTTTGACAGAATTGACGTTGGTTCTTTTCTGAAATTGTAAAAATTAAAGCAAATCTTTTTGTTTTTGAGAATCCACATGGTATTAATAAAACTGGTCTCAAATCCCTTTTTTAATATATGGACAGTCCTTCTTTGGCGACAAAGGTCAATCTTTGAGACAGGGATTTGGTGTGAGACCCAGAAATATCTCTCTTTTTGAATGGATTTTATGGACCTTTGGAATACAGCACAAAAGAGGAATGAAAATGTCTTCAGGTTTTAGAGTCCACATGCTGGCCTCATATGTGGCATTGTTTCACATATCACTTATACAAAGTCGTTGGATCAAACAACTAATTTAGTGATGCTTATATGTGATGGTTATGTTATTTGAAGGCTTGTCAACTACAAACGTTTCATGTTGGGCGGCCAGACTTTGGATGACAGCTGACGGAAACAGAATGGGTTTATTCCAATTCTGTTTCTTCTTTCAGTTTGTTGATTCTGCCAATTACAACATCACACACTGAAAGGTATTCAACAGGATTCTCTTCATAATTCTTAAAAGCATTGTGAATAATCAGCGCCTGTTCGGTCCTAGGAAATATAGCATCATCGGTATTTTAAGTGTAAAATTGGGGAATTTGATACATACATTTCATCCAAAAATCTTACACAGATAACACAGGTAACATCCCCACGATACCATGTACTGATACCATCCCCACAACACCATGTACAGATAACATCCACACAACACCATGTACAGATAACATCCCCACAACATCATGTACAGATCACATCCCCACAACACCATGTACTGATAACATCCCCACAACACCATGTACAGATAACATCCCAACAACACCATGTACTGATAACATCCCCACAACATCATGTACAGATAACATCCCCACAACACCATGTACTGATAACATCCCCACAACATCATGTACAGATCACATCCCCACAACACCATGTACAGATAACATCCCCACAACACCATGTACTGATAACATCCCCATAACATCATGTACAGATAACATCCCAACAACACCATGTACAGATAACATCCCAACAACACCATGTACAGATAACATCCCCACAACACCATGTACAGATAACATCCCCACAACATCATGTACAGATAACATCCCCACAACATCATATACAGATAACATCCCCACAACACCATGTACAGATAACATCCCCACAACATCATGTACAGATAACATCCCCATACATCATGTACAGATAACATCCCCACAACATCATATACAGATAACATCCCCACAACACCATGTACAGATAACATCCCCACAACACCATGTACAGATAACATCCCCATACATCATGTACAGATAACATCCCCACAACATCATATACAGATAACATCCCCACAACACCATGTACAGATAACATCCCCATACATCATGTACAGATAACATCCCCACAACACCATGTACAGATAACATCCCCATACACCATGTACAGATAACATCCCCATACACCATGTACAGATAACATCCCCACACCATCATGTACAGATAACATCCCCATACATCATGTACAGATAACATCCCCACAACATCATATACAGATAACATCCCCACAACACCATGTACAGATAACATCCCCACAAC